TTATCCTGCCCTTCTCCCAGTCACCTGGGGTCGGCGCAACATGTTTTCTCCTTCCATACTCTTCTATCATATACCATTTCTTCGCTCACTCCCCTCCTACCCATATCGTCTTTCACACAATCCATCCATTTCTTCTTAGGTCTACCTCTTCCTCTAAATCCTTCCACATTCATAGTTAACACTCTCTTAACAACCTCATTTTCATTCCGTCTCATCACATGTCCATACCATCCCAAACGTGCACTCCTCNTTATCTAATATATAAAATTCTCGTGTCACAATGTTCGTTCCCATACTCCTCCGAAACCGCTTGTCCGATTCTCATGAAATTTTTTATGCATATTCAGCAAGCCTGAGAATCGGCTACTATCTATTTTTCATACCCCTAAGTGATTAGGGTTGTCCACCCCTAACATATTTTTTTTTATTTGGACTTTTTTTTTGTTATAATGAGGTATTATGTGGTTGAATGAGGTTTTGTTATTTTTATTATATATTCCCTCATCGTTCACAGCACTACATACCTCTTTCACTCATTTACCACATCCTTACACACTTACAATAAGTTAGTTTTTTTTCTACACTAGAAATTCCCTAGAAATCTTATATATGGCAAAACAATGTTTGCTGGTTTATAAAAGGATAGCTATATTATGGATAGATTATGTTATATAAAAGGATAGCTTCCAAACAAGATTCCTTTCCTAAAGCTTAGTAAGTTAAACCTAAAAGAATCGATCGGGGTTTAATATGTTTACGCAATTAGGATATCCCTCGGGGGACCCGGCGGCCGAGGGCTGCGTCGTTACATGTAATACCTTCTGAATTATTCGCGTTTTGTAATCCGCCAATTTTGGTATATTGTATACAGAAGCGAAATAAAATTTACCTCACCCGAAGTAAAAGAAAATTGGATTTGATCGTCTTTTTTTTTATGTTTTGGATATTTTTGTGTCTGCATATGTTAATTGATTTTTTTTATTTTAAATGTCTTTTTACTGTTATGAATCCTGACAGAAATACATTATGGTAAAAAAAAATCGATACGAATATATATGTAACAAATAGTTAAACAATATTTTTCATTGACAGCCCTAAGAAACTAACGTAATCCAAGTTGTTGTTTATGAATCCAAGTTTATGAAATTTAGTTAACCGTGACGCAAGAAAGTCAATTATTTATACAAATGTAAAATATTAAGCAGATAATGATACGTTTGCAGAATGACATTATTAACATAAACTCGTCCACACACCGAACCCTGGTTTCAATGATGATGAGCACATACATCACAAACATTTTCTGTTTTTCTTTAAAAACCACCGATGATACTCGTAAGAGCCCACACGTATCGATACTTTGTTGGCTATTTTTGGGATGAAGTTCCTTATGGTACCCTAACCGGGAAAAAACGTCCGTAACGTAAGATTTTTATTTGTAATGCACACAGTGTTTTTTTATAATTCATTGACCACGATCTCAGAGCGTTCGTGTGCGCAATACACTAACTCTTATGCAAACAACCGTGAATGAAGTGTACCACAATAAGTTCGCACGTTACCGAATGACCGTGGGTTGTTGCGAAACCTCCAGTTTTATTTTCTTTATACCTCGAACAGAACTTAAAATTAATATTTTTATAATAAGGAACTTTGTTCCGGTGTCCCACGACACAACACATCTTTTTTCTTTAGCTCAGTAAATCGGCTTACGAATCCTCAAGATTATATATATGACTATCTGAGTTGACGGATAACAACGTAACCGCCGCTGCCGTCGCCACGTACTTCGTAACTTGGAATAGTCGCTGTATTGCTGTCAACAAACATCAATCTATACTAATATTATAAAGAGGAAAGATTTGTTTGTTTGTTTGTTTCGAATAGGCTCCGAAACTACTGGACCGATTTGAATAATTCCGACATTGTCCCTGATGAACATAGGCAACTTTTTTTTAAAAAAATTTGTTTTATTTTTTTGGTTTCATGTGTGTTTTAATGTTTCCGAAGCGAAGCGAGGGCGGGTCGCTAGTTATATTATAAGCGGGTATTAACTAATGCGGCGACTGTGACGTATCGCCAAAGCGACTGCTCGAGTTATGTTTTTCAGTCAGTATTTAAGAATAATTTCTTGTAATTCTTCAATTACGAGCCATTGGTATGTATGACTGACCGGGTGGTGCGGTGGTTAGCGCCTCTGACTGTTGCGCCCAGGGTCGTGCGTTCGATTCCCACATCATAGAACAGGTTTGTTTGCTCTTTGTCTGGGTGTTTATTATCTATATATTTATATCCTCCTCCTTGCGTTGATAATCCTCAATGCTGAGGGTCGTGGCCTCCTTTAATATCTTTCTCTTGAATTTTCCTGCACCTCTCCTGCCTATCCTCGGCTGTGTGGATAGCAACGTGGACTGAAGTGTTGAGCGTGTCGGATCCGACCAGCGCATTGGACTTCTGCCTCTGGGCTTTCTTCCGCATATCTTCCCTTTTACCAGCAGCTTCTCTAAATTGTCTAATTGTTTCTTATGTACATATTTATATATATATATATATATATATTATATAAGTATCTTAATCAGTCTCTGCCTCTCTGGTACCCATAACACAGGATACCCTATATTGGAGCTGGATGACCGTGTGTGATTTGTTCCCAGTGATTTATCTACATATTTAATACCTCTGAACCACGAGTGCTTTTTCGTTTTTGCAAGATTGAATTTAATCGTGCAGTTACATAAAAAAATGCTTTATCGAAAATCGCTAGTACTAACTTTGTACCGGTTCATCCGGAAGAAAGCTTTATAACTCAGTTAATCGGTTAATTTATTACGATCCTATTCGAAACATTTACTTAAAGTGCAGCCGGGACTGGCGCCGTCGGGTTATATCCGGTTGTTTTAATGCAGTTTTAACTGGTTAGCAAACTTTTATTTCCGGTTTATTACTTATTATGGCAAGCGGTTTAAAGTTTTAAAGCGATTAGGGTTGAGTTCTTGAAATTACATTGTTTTTTGCTGGTAATAATAGAGTTGTCTGAGTGGTTTCAACCATGAGTGTCGGCACCATGAACCCAGTTATTTCTTATGTAAAGTAAGTTTTTTTTAAGTCCATTACAAGTTAGTTACATTTAAATCTCCCAATTAAAACCAGTATTAATATAAAGATAGGGTGAGGTCAGTACGTGACTCGGTAACAACGTTATCTAGGAGAGATTTGCTACATTGTTGCGCATATCATTAAAACAGATTGCCTTTTAATAACGAGCAAAACAACCAATACGTGCTGTTCCATCGGTGCGTCACTCAAATTATAATTTGCGTAATTACTGGTGGTAGGACCTCTTGTGAGTCCGCACGGGTAGGTACCATCACCCCGCCTATTTCTTCCGTGAAGCAGTAATGCGTTTCGGTTTGAAGGGTAGGGCAGCCGCTGTAACTATACTGAGATCTTAAAACTTATACCTCAAGGTGGGTGGCGCATTTACGTTGTAGATGTCTATGGGCTCCAGTAACCACTTAACACCAGGTGGGCTGTGAGTTCGTCCACCCATCTAAGCAATAAAACAAAATCGGGCAGTGGCGATCCATCTACCGGTACCTTGAGGGTTTGCAAATTGTCATCATCGTGGCTTAAAGGATAAGACGCCCAGTACATTCGTTTCTAGCGATGCGACTCTACCCGTGTTCGAATGTCACAGGCAAGTACCTACCAAGATTTCAAATGAAATACGTACTAAGCGAATGTTCACGAATGAGTTCGACAGTACAGGAAAAATATAATGTGGGTAATTACTGGCGGTAGAACATCTTGTGAGTCCGCACGAGTATTAGCGGTATTTAGCGGAAGGCAGCGGCTTGGCTCTGCCCCTGGTATTGCTGAAGTCCATGGGCGACGGTAACCACTCACCATCAGGCGGGCCGTGTGCTCGTCTGCCAACAAGGGCTATAAAAAAAAAAGTATGCACCACCACCCCTATTTCCTACCACCTATTTCTGCCGTGACGCAGTAATTTGTTTTGGGTTTGAAGGGTAGGGCAGCCGTTGTACTGTAAAGATTGAGACTTAGAATTTATGTCTCAAGGTGGCTGTCGGCATTAACTTGGTTGATGATACTGATAACTACATAATATCAGATGGGCGTAAAATCGTGTATACATCTAAAAAAAAAAATTAAGCCTCCACTGCTGAACACAGACCCCCCTCAAGCCTCGCCACACGACCGGTCCTGCATATAGCGGATTCCTACGACTTGCAACAGGTCGTCGGTCTACTTGTCAACTCTGTAGGATCTTTTTGAATTAAAGTCGAATAAAACATTAAACATTTGACTTAGTAAATTAATTATGCTTCCTCTTACTCCTATGCATTTTTTATTTTATTTAAAGGTTTAACTCACGCCCCATCTGATATTAAGGGGTTACCGGAGTCCAAAGAAATCACAACGAGAATGAATAAATTTACTGGTGGTAGGACCTCTTGTGAGTCTGCGCGGGTAGGTACCAACACCTTGCCTATTTCTGCTGTGAAGCAGTAATGCGTTTCTGTTTGAAGGGTGGGGCAGCCGTTGTAACTATAATGAGATCTTAGAACTTATATCTCAATGTGGGTGGCGCATTTACGTTGTAGATGTCTATGTGCTCCAGTAACCACTTAACACCAGGTGGGCTGTGAGCTCGTCCACCCATCTTGAGCAATAAAAAAAAATAAAAAATGTCGCTACGCACCATCCGGGTGTTTGGTGTTTAAGTGGGGTTTAAGTACCATGGGGTTTAAGTGTCAGTTGTAAAGTATATCGTCTGGCCCACCCTTCAAATTGGAACGCATACCTGCCTTACGGCACAGACCGACAGACAGTGAGCTAAACATGCGTCTTCTCCTGGTAATTAAGCAAATTTATAAATGTTACAAGGGCTTTTATAAACTATACTACTATATGCATATTTACATAAAATATTACAAAGATAGTTGCAGCATTGACGGGCGTTTAACGCATTAAATAAATATTAAGTTATCTTTAGTTACAAACGGACGACACTGAACAATAACATGGACATTATCAGCAAGTTATATATTATGTTTTTGAAACATCCAGTCGAATCGGAGAATAAACACATTTATGACCGGAAATTAGTGATACGGTTAATCTATATATTGTAAAGTACGACCATACACGGACCTAGGGGATTAACAAATTTAAGAAATGAGGTAGGGGCTAATCTGATGATGAATAACACAGAAGTAGCAGCAGGCGGGCTCGAGGTAACAGATTTACAAGTTTATTCCAATAAATTACGCGAAAAACTGTTGTCAAATCCCAACACGAATTTTTTCGTATTTAAAGGATACATTCTCAAGTTTCCAGTTTTGTCCCCGATGGCGAGCAGCTTCTGTATCGGATCCCAGGCGAGAGCCGTCGGGGAAAACGGGAACCCGTGCCGGAACGTCTGCGGACAAACAAAATAACACTTTATTGCTGGCAGTTTTAGAGGTTACATTGAAACTTACATGTGGAACTTCCCGTTCTTTACAATAGGCAATTAGTAGCTGTTATTTGTTGAGTGCTAAAACGATTCTTTTAACGCTACTGAGCGTACAATCCTTGAGTCCTGACTCCCGTTGTAGTGCCTGTTGACTTTGGTGCCTACTTAACTCGAGGTGGGCCGCAATTCTTTAGTTGACGAAATAAAAGTCGTAAACAAATTTTAGCAGTAAATTTTACTTTGTATATTTAACCTTTCAAGATTATGACATTGTCATTATCGTGCTGGGTGATATAAACCTGGTTGTTATTTCTTTACAAAAAAAAAGTGCACGTAATTTGACGTTTAATGTCAAGCACATAAATATGAAAATCGCGTACCAATTCCACGCGACTAAAAACAAGCACTTACTTTGTCGTTTGCAATCGAGTTACACGGTTCAATGGTCGTTGTTATGTAAACAATATTAATCGTATTAATTATTTATTCTTATCTTGTTTGTTTTTGTAAGCTGGTGTCAAGCTAATGTATTGTATGTTTTATTCCGAGATTTTTTATCGCTCTACGTAGGCAGACTAACCCATAACCCATGTGATGTCAACTGGTAGTTGAAGCCAATTCACATCAGATGGGTTATGAATTGCGCCACCCACTTTGAGACCCATAGGTCTTGACCGGCCAATGTCTCAATTGTATTATATAACGGTAGCCTGCCCCCTAGTCGGAGCGGATACTTGCTTCGTGGCAGGAATAGGCACAACGATGGTGCCTATCTGCGCATGGAATATATCGGGCGATTTAATCCATACCACAGTGGAAGATCACATGTCATTGCGACCCGGACCTATGTACGTATGACGCACGTGAAGGAATAACATCGTGTAATAAAAATTAAACCCGCAAAATTATAATTTGCGTAATTACTGGTGGTAGGACCTCTTGTGAGTCCGCGCGGGTGGGTACCACCACCCCGCCTATTTCTGCCGTGAAGCAGAAATGCGTTTCAGTTTGAAGGGTGGGGCAGCCGTTGTAACTATACTTGAGACCTTAGAACTTATATCTCAAGGTGGGTAGCGCATTTACGTTGTGGATGTCTATGGGCTCCAGTAACCACTTAACACCAAGTGGGCTGTGAGCTCGTCCACTCATATAAATAATAAAAAAAAAATTTTTTGATGGCAGATTCGAGAATCGACTCCCTTGTCAGATTGTAAACCAATCTAGCATTTTCCCTGCAAGAATTCACAGCAGATTTTTTTGTTGACATTTTGTCGATTGATGTTATGACACAACTGCTCTTGTCCATGTTTACTGAACGTCATGATACAGGCTTCAACAAAGGAGAATCAAAAAGAGTCTTAAGCGATAGACAAGAGCGAAATGAAAACGTTGCGATTCGAATAATANCCCTTGTCAGATTGTAAACCAATCTAGCATTTTCCCTGCAAGAATTCACAGCAGATTTTTTTGTTGACATTTTGTCGATTGATGTTATGACACAACTGCTCTTGTCCATGTTTACTGAACGTCATGATACAGGCTTCAACAAAGGAGAATCAAAAAGAGTCTTAAGCGATAGACAAGAGCGAAATGAAAACGTTGCGATTCGAATAATAAAAGAATAAAATATACGCAATAAGGCAGAAAGATTTAACCTCTCTTAACCTACAATATAGTTAAAAACAGTGTAAGAATCCTAATTAATTCGCTTATTTGCATGGTACGGGGCAGCTGAAGCTACTGGTGGCAACGTACAGGTAGCACCTGCCCATTTTAGCCATAAGTCAGTCATGTGTCATGGTCTCTGGGGTAGAACGACGATGCGACTGTGCCGGAGTTAAAATTTCGCAGTTGGGTAGAAAATTTTGTAGAGAAGATCTTCCACCGAGCCGGTGGAACTGCTCCGTGGACCGATAGTCCGAATTTAATCGTTAGGAACTTATTTAATGCAAGTTATCGTGAAATTGTCGTTAGCGCAATTCAGACATCTGTCAAATATCTTGTGTTCTTCGAAGGTATTCGAAACAATACAAAATAATATCGTGTAATAAAAGCCAAACCTGCAATAATTATAATTAACTATTCAATTGGGACATACTTCAAATCTCTAACGGGTGGAGGCATTCACGTTGTAGTGTCTATAGGCTTCGGCAACCACTTAAGACCAGGTGAGCCTCGAGCAGTTCAATAGTCAACGACGAAAGTCTTTCATTGCTTTTTTTACATCGGTACTCCACGCAAAGTTTACGCGAGATTTAGACGAGATTTACAAGATAAAAGACTAATGATTTCGGAAGTAAACAATACTAACGATAATATGAGTTTGAACCACATAAGTTTTTGATAAATTTGTCTTGTATATCAATGTTTATTATTTTATCACAAATGTTGCGCCGATGGACATGGCAATGGCAAGATTATTTTGGCAGGAACATGCAAGACAGCCGAACACGTCACAAACAGAATCACAGCACGCCTCACTTCGAGTTTTTTTTATCGCGATCGACAATTAGACGACGTCGTGAGGGCCACGATAGAAATTTAAATGATTTATGTCAACTCAAAATCCATAATAAAAACTCTACGAGGGGTTCCTAAACAAACCTCAGTCCAGAAAAACGGTGAATTAAACCCAGCGGACTAATCTTGGAGCGACCCTCAACATTATAACATGCTGCCTGTAAATTAACCATTGAATTTATAATTTTCTTTAGTGCACAAGCGTTCCTTGATAGGTTTCTTAAATCGTATTGTAATGATTGTCGTACCCTTGAGATATAGTTATGACTGACGTATGACCGACATGATGCATTGATCATGGTAGTTGCACGACACGTCCTATCTCCAAAACTTTTGGCCTGAAAGTTCCCAAGTCCCCCGTATTCATTTTGTTACAGAGATTATTAAAAAATTGTGAATATTTCCATAAAGCATTTTGAATGGTAGAATCTCGTCTCAATAGATACTTCAAAAATCAATTGACAAATCGAGAAGAAATGGATACCTAACTGTTGTGATTTTGAAATTATTTGTCAGTATTTATTGGTTCAAAAATCCAATTTTAAAAAGAAAAAAGTGACCGATCGATCTAGGCCGGCCTACACGTTACCGCGCCGGAAATATGGCCTATAATGCTATAAGTGCTAGTAAAATCGAAAAATCCATAAAAATTACAAAATCATCTCATCTCCGTGCATTAAAATCATAAAGAAGAGAGTTGATCCCTGGGGTTATCTGCTGTAACGAGAGCTGATAATGGTTGGATAGTAACGTGAAAACAACTCAGGCAGGTATATAAAGGCAGACGGAATGGTTTGTGTTCAGTGTGCACTCAGGAGTTCTTCAAACATGAGGGTTCTAGTACTACTGGCCTGCTTGGCCGCGGCGTCAGCCTCAGCGATTAGTGGTGGCTACGGGACGATGGTCTTCACCAAGGAACCAATGGGTGAGTTCAAGTATAATATTATAAAATCTTCACATTAATTTGGCGTCTCTGGGATATTTTGACGGATAGGGCAGGAGCTTCATTTTATTTTTCAACAGAAAAAACTAGTAATTTTGAGGCGGTAGCTTGGTGGTGCTGGGGAGTTAAGCCTTTTGAATGTTATACCTTGAATTAATTTAAATATTAATCTATTTTGTGAATTAGCTGTTTTTTTTCCATCGAAGGCAGACCAACCTGCTATCCATATAATTTAAAATATTCACCGTGGCATATGGATATCAGTAATTTCTTTCTACCAAAGACGAAACAAGCAATCATTCTCCCACATACACTGCCGAAATATTTATTACATTACACATTAAAAGTCATTAAATACATTAAGTACAAATAACCAATTCGGTGTTATTGTTTCGGTTTCGNTTTTTCCATCGAAGGCAGACCAACCTGCTATCCATATAATTTAAAATATTCACCGTGGCATATGGATATCAGTAATTTCTTTCTACCAAAGACGAAACAAGCAATCATTCTCCCACATACACTGCCGAAATATTTATTACATTACACATTAAAAGTCATTAAATACATTAAGTACAAATAACCAATTCGGTGTTATTGTCTCGGTTTCGTAATTGGAAGCAGTAGGTTTCGCTTCCCTTGGGGGCCTTTTAGAAGTATATGATTCAAATCTGGGACAGGTGTAGTAAGGTCTTTTATATATTTTTGTACTAATGCATGTTATAAGACTTCCACGGTGACACGGTGATGATACGTGTAGACATTGCCCTGTCCTACCTATTTCCAAAAAACCGTGCGTGTGTGTTTTAGGGGTATGATAAGCGCGCACTGCGATACCGGAAGTTTCGTGTAGCCGGTGTGGTGGAGCTCGATGGGGTTTAGTCGGTAGTCGGTTGTGCGGGGCAAGTGCCTCGCGCGCCTATTTCAAGGCGTAGTCTCCTGTGAGAAATTGGGAGAAGTGGAGGACCTCGGTCCTTCTCTTCTCCCCCTCTTCCTCTCAGGAAGCGCCGGAATCCGTCATAACCCAGTCCGTTACCCCCCTCGACCGGGTATCCGTGAATGGATTCCTCAGCGTTAAAAAAAAGGAGTATGATAAGCGTTATATTACTTACAGGAACCATATTCATTTTGTAATGATGTTATCAAAGAGCTCCGATAATCATCAAAGCCACGTGGACAATGAGCTCATCTCTACCTATCTATGCCAATCTAAATCATCAAACTGACTAATTCTCGACTTTAAAACATTATCTTGGTTATGCAGTAAACCTTGACATGAAGATGAAGGAGCTTTGCATCATGAAGCTGCTTGACCATATCCTCCAGCCGACCATGTTTGAGGACATCAAGGAGATCGCCAAGGAGTATAACATCGAGAAAAGTTGCGACAAGTACATGGTTAGTAATCATAGGAAACATGTCTTAACTTCATACGCAGTACAATATCTACAAGTTCAGACAACAAAAGATGGTATTTTTTGTTTACGGGAAACGACTGTTC